CATACGGTATGTAACTGCCTGTAGCTGTAGTTTAGTGTAGCTATCATAATCTGTTGGGGGCGCACCATTCTTGGTTCTTGCCTATATCCTTGAATTGTTTCTCATTATTGCACACTTCTTCCTTCTCGATTTTCCTCGCCCAAACTCTCTTGACACTCAACCCTAGCATGGCTCCTATGCCTCCTAAGCCTACACCTAGTTTCCTAGGTGCTTAGTGTTCTGACGTGCTATCAGAGTGGGTTTCGATCTAGGACCATTCTCATTGGGCCCACCCTACGCTTCTAATGCGTCACCCTGCTGCCCGTCGCACGCCTCGGGCGTGCGTCGGTTTTCTGCCCGTCGTGCGCCCCGGGCACACGTCGATTTTCTGCCCGATGCGCGCCCTGGCTGGTCGTACAGCAGGGGGGGGAGGGTATGGGGGTGGCGGGGGTGGCGAACGATGGGTTCCTGCCCGTCGCGCGCACTGCTGTTGCCCGAGCAGCTTCTACAACCCCCCCCCCCCCCCCTTTCTCCTCCATCCCCCTGCTGCGGGTGCAGCAGTGGGAGGAGGGTACCTGAGTGCCCCTCGCACCCCCTCGTGAGTGCCCCATGCCCCAAGGCACCCTGCCATGACTTTCCCCCAGTACCCCCACTTTGAGGCGTCTCAAAAGGCAGCAGCTGCTGCTGTACCTGGCGGATCTGCAGCACCAGCCCCCCCCCCGCCCCCCCTTCTCCTCCATCCCCCTGCTGCGGGTGCAGCAGTGGGGGAGGGGTATGGGGGTGGCGGGAAGGGATCTGCAGTACCAGCCCCCCCCCCGCCCCCCCCCTTCTCCTCCATCCCCCTGCTGCGGGTGCAGCAGTGGGGGGGAGGGGATCTGCAGCACCAGCCCCCCCCCCCTTCTCTTCCACCCCCCTGCTGCGGGTGCAGCAGTGGGGGAGGGGGGGGGGGGGGGGGGGGTAAGGGGGTGGCGGGATCTTGGAGGTTAAGGGGGTGGCAGGGAGGGATCTGCAGCACCAGCCCCCCCGCCCCCCCCTTCTCCTCCACCCCCCTGCTGCGCTTGCAGCAGTGGGGGAGGGTATGGGGGTGGCGGGTGTGAGTAGCCAGGAGCCCATCACCTCCTCCTCTCTCTCCCTACTGCACCTGTTGTTGTGTTAGGAGAAAGGGGGGGGAGCTTGGAGGTGTGAGGGGGTGGCGAGAGAGATTCTGCCGAGCCAGCAGCCGCCCCTCCTCTCTCTCTCGCGGCCGCGCGTGCCACTGTGGGGGGGAGGGCGAGGCGGTGGCGGGAGCCAGCCAGGCATCTGCAGCTGCCGCCCGCTGCTACTGTGGCACCTCCAACTGCCGCCCCTGCCTCCACCTGCTGTCTCTTCTGCTGTCTGCTGCTGTTGAGCGGCAGGTGCTGCAGTTGAGCCCTGCTGTGCCGCCGCACGCTGCCGCCGCAAGCACCTGCTCTCCAGGCGACCTGCCCCCACATGCACGTTATTCTTTTGCTTGCTTCTATCTTGGCTGAGGGGTTGTTGCGGCTGAATATGGCACCACTGCACCGGTTGTCAATGCTCTTGCCTACTGCTACTTTACTCAGCACAAACTCTTGCTGCAAGCAGTTATGGGGGTGTGTTGGGATATATATATGTAACTGCCTATAGCTGTAGTTTAGTGTAGCTATCATAAACTGTTGGGGGCGCACCATTCTTGGTTCTTGCCTATATCCTTGTACTGTTTCTCATTATTGCACACTTCTTCCTTCTCGATTTTTCTCACCCAAACTCTCTCGACACTCAACCCTAGCATGGCTCCTATGCCTCCTAAGCCTACACCTAGTTTCTGTCAAACTTATATATGCTATAGTCTGTTTAGGCTGTAGTGGGGTAGTTCTTAGAGGGTACAACACTTTTGTGTTTCCTACTTGTACCCACCTGCTTCCTAGTCAATTCATTCTCTCATTTATTCTCACAGTTTCCTAGATGCTTAGTGTTCTGACAGGGACCCCCCATTTTTGGGATGTGTGACGAGGCGCAGACACTTAAATCTGAGATCCGCTATAAGCTCCGGACACTCCAGACGATCTGAAGTGCGCAGTAGTTGTGATCTTCACTCGATAAAGCGAGACTTATATATGAATCAGAGTGCGACAGACGCCAAACGACGCAGGTTCCCGCTGAGCGACTCTCTGAGAGGTATAGAGACGAGCAGATAAAATAGCGAGACGGGGGAGGGATACTAAGGGATGACTGTGCTAACTGAGACGCGGGTTCGGAATATATAAGGCGCTATTGATAAGTAGTAACGCGACTCGTAGAGGTTCTGATAAGACGGTGATGGGAATTGAAGGACTTCATGCTTCATACACTGTATCAGGGAATGGTTTTGCATGTTGCACTCCGATTCAAAGGTGTTTAACACAATTCAGAGAGGTAACCGCATTCCCCGAAGTTCCGTCATGTCGGCGAAAACGAAATTTCCGAAAGGCGAAACAATGCGGTTGTGTAACTGGTGTGTCTCGCAAATTGGGCCAGGACTGGTGAACCTTCATGGCGCTTGCTTGGCGAGCAGATTCGGGTGATTTGCGAACAGCTCTTGGTCGATTATCGCATCGGAAAACTTTGTCGCCATTTTCCCCCTTACAATCATCCCCGATTATCGGTCAACTATTTTAGTCCGACTATTGCTAGCGGCGCTACGAATAGGTTCTATTCGCGAGCAGCTAGATATGCATCAGCAAGCATGGTTGTCGCCGTCCAGACACTAGAGCCACGTGTTGTGAAAAAAATGCACGTCCGACGTACTGAGTCAGTACATCGACCACTCGATATCGACCCTCGCCACGCAGCCCGCATTGCAGCTCGAATTGATCCGCGCCGCTGCTGAGTCACTTCGAGGGCCGCGATACGCCATAGCATACGATAACCTAATTAGAGGTAAGCCCCCGTTTCCCCAGTCGGACCTCCGCATTTTGAGCCTTGCAAGCCTGCGCCTCACAGCCTACGAATCACGGTTCTCGTTGTTGTGTCAGAGTCCAATGTGCAACTTTAGTTACATACCGAGTCGCTTACGATTCTGCAGACCGCCTTGACGCATTCTTAGCCCCACGTAGCTTTTACCATGCGTGCCCCTGCCCCTTCCCGTGCTGCTATTGTTTCGCCTGGGCTCATTCACCATGCTGACACTGACCTAGGCTATGATTGACCTGGGCACTAATTGACTTCGGCTCGGATTGACCTAGGCCTGGATTGACCTTGGCTCGGATTGACCTAGGCTCTGAATGACCTAGGCTCTGAATGACCTAGGCTCTGGATGACCCGGATTGACCTAGCCTTGGACTGACTTAAGCTTTGATTAGCCTCTTATTATTGCCTGACCCCTTCCCGTGCTGTGTTTCCTCGCCCTGGTTCATACACTCACGTTGTCACTCACCCAGGCTCTGTGACCCACCTCAGCTTGTGACCCACCTAGGCGGTGAGTGACCCAGCCTGTGACAGATCTTACCATGACTGACTGAACTTGTCTCACCTAGCTTGTGAATGACAGAGGGAACATGACGCTTCTGTCGTCAAGTGTTCGTACGAGCTGAAAAGGATCGCTTGGCGGGCTAGAATAGCAGAAACAAGCTAAAGCTGACTGTTAGGTGCTAAGGTAGAAACAACCTTAGGCTGATTGCTTGGCGATACTTAGGTGAGAAGGAACTAAAGCGAACGCAAGTAAGAAAGTACTCGCAGCGAGGCAACTAATTCTCGCCTCGCCAGGTACATCTCACGCTGATATCGGTTTTTTTGCATGGGGGCATCAACATGCTCCCTTCTAGCTGTCCTTCTTCCCCTCTCTCCCCTAACAAATGGAAGTTCTACTTCTTCGAGGTTCGCTGTGGGTGTCGTGTCTTGTGTGAGTGGCTTAGCCGGTGAGTGCCTTAGCCTATGAGTGGCTTAGCCTATGAGTGTCTTAGCTTATGAGTGTCTTAGCCTATGAGTGTCTTAGCCTGTGAATGTCTCAACCTCTGACTGACCAAACTTCTGTCTGACCTACCTTGTTAGCCTCTGAGCGTCTTAGCGTTGTTTTAGCCTGTGGGTTTACCTCGCCTGTGGGCTGACCTCGCCTGTGCGGTGACCTAGTGTGTGACTGTCGTAGCCTCAGGCTGGCCTATTCTGGTAATGGCCTAGTTTGTGGCTAGGATAACCCCTCCTGTGAGGCTGTGGCCACCTCTGACTCATCATAGGCACTCTGATCGCCTTTCTTCTGTGGAATCTACCCTCTGATTGACCTACGTTTCGACCTGAGTAGCCAGTGGGTGGCCTAGCCAGTGAGTAACCTATCCTCGGACTGACTTAAGACGTGACCGATTTACCCAAAAAAGGTTGCAGCTTCTCTCCTTCCTTACGACCATGAGCAATGTCCTGGCCGAACCAGGGTCGCCGCTACCTACATCAGCTTGTTTTGTGTGATGGCCGAGCCGAGCCAAAGTTAGTGCCTGCCTGACTTGTGGCTCGAGTCTAATGGACATGTTAAGGAGGCAGTAGGAAGCAAGCTGCCGGTCTCACCACTGGGTTTGCGACTCGTGAGCCACCAGTCTCGACCTCCTCCAGGTGTAATCCACCAGGTCGAGGGATTTGGTATGTCTCACGCTCCTTGCCAATCTCAGCCAACGGAGGAGCGATGAAAAAAGGAGGTCTTGTATGCATCAGACCTGGCTTGGAAAGTGTATAATAGAAAACCACCAGCGCGAGCCAAGACCTACTGGTTTCCAATCAGCCCCGTTGTTTCGAGCCGACCAGATCGCTGAAAACCAAGTTGAATCTCAAGCCACGTTACAATTCGAAATCCGGAATCCCTTTTTCTCTATTCAAAGAGCACCTTACATGGCCAATCCGTTTCGTTCTGTGTGCATTGACTATCTCTATCCCCCTTCTACCCCCTTATTTTGCCGTTTCCCTCACGACACTTGACCCGGCCCTACTCAGACCTTGGCTGCATTTTCCATGCTGAAGTGAAAGAGGCGGTAGAATGCAGGCAAGGATTTGCCACTTAAGATATGGCCGCTGAGAGGGTGATGGGTACACTAATTGATGTGGTCAAGGAGGCAGTGCTGGCAGCAGTGCCAGTGAGAGAAGAGCTCGCTAGACACAAGGAGGAGGTGGATGAGCTGCGGCACACGTTGACTCTTGTGGAGGAGAGGAATGAGGCGACTGCTGCCATGATGGAAGAGAGGGAAAGGGAGCTGGCTGCAATGAAGCGGGAATTGGCAGCGGTGAAGGTGGAGATGGCAAAACACGAGGGGCGATGGGCTGAGAGTACTAGGCCAGTGAATGTAAGAGGGCTGAGAGGGACGAGTAGGAAGAGAAGGCAAGAAATGCCATTGGAGTTTTCCTGGGAGGAGGAGAGGAGGGGGGTGCAGGAGTTGAATCGACCACATGCCCTGGAGGAGTTGGCAGCCTGTAAACAATGGCGGAGGACACCAAATCTGAAGTTGGATGTTGAGGTGGAAATTAAGCGGAGTAAAGGCGATCGGAAGTCTGCACGGGAGGTGAGTGCTTAGTGATTTGCTTCACTTCACAGGGCGTGCATTGCCTGCTAGTTCTTTCTTGTCACTGGAATCATCCCTTTTCTTGCCATGTTTCCCTTTCCCCCCTTCAACCAAATTGTTCCAGCGAATCAAGGCAGCATCACAGAATCTCAATCTGGACCTGACGAATCTCAGCAGCCTCTCAGACGCCATGCTCGCCCATGTGTCCACCATCTATGATGGATTATACGCTCTAGACCCTTTGCGTTTAGCATATCTACGCTAGCGTGTACACGCAATACGCTAAACGTTAGCGAATACGTGATACGCAGCCATAAAAATTTTCGGGCAGCCCGGGAAAGTAAAATCGCAGAAAAGATGCGGATTTTCTTGGTGAGCATTTCGCCGAAGTCGAAATGCAAATCCGCGGTCTATGCAAGCTGGGATCTGACTTCGAAGTTTTCAGGCACATCTGGCTATTCAAATGTCAAATTTCAGGTCCCATCTAGGCATTTGAACCCATCCCTCTACCGCATTGAAAACCATCTTATCTACGAACCCCAACCTATCAAAATCGAACCCCCAACAAATCTCACGCTACTTACCAGCCAACCCAACTCCTAACCCGTCATTTCCTACTTTGCATTCCCGCTTGCAGCAGTGTCCCCGCGCACTCCAACTTGAACAGCCTCTCCAACACTACTCCCTCTAGCAATGATGTCTACTCCCCGCCCCACCCCACCCGCCGATCGGACTCAGGAAAATGCTAGGGCACGTCTTAGTTAGATGAGATAGGGGGTAATTTTTTTCCACCCTGCCCGAAATGTTTTTTTCCCTGCCTGAAAAAGCGTATGCCTGATCCGACCCTCAAGCGTATGGCGTATACACGCTATATACGATACGCATATATACGCTAAACGCGTATAATCCATCATAGTCCACCATGACCCATCTGATCTGATAAGCATTGACTTGTCCTCTAGCTCAGGCTTCAGTGCAGAGGGCATCAAGCACCTCTACAGGCTTCCACGGCTGGAAAAGCTAGACCTAAAAGATGCCGATGTCTCTGACAGTTCCTTGGAAGGCATTGGGTTCGTAACCAGTCTCAAAATCATCTATCTTGGACAGACCAACGTGACTTATGCTGGTCTGCCACACTTGGCGGGTCTCACCTCTCTCAAGGAGCTGGATCTTTCCAAATGCAAGGGTGTGAGTGATGCTGGCATGGTGCATGTAGGAAGGTTGATCGGGCTTGAGAAACTTTGGCTAGATGAGGCCGCTGTCACAGATGCCGGTCTGCTACACTTGACTGGTCTCTCCTCTCTCAAACAGCTGGATCTTTCCAACAGCCAAGGTGTGAGTGATGCTGGCATGGTGGATGTGGGAAGGTTGACTGGGCTTGAACATTTCTGGCTGACTGAGACGGCTGTCACAGATACTGGGCTGCAGCAATTGGCAGGCCTATCCTTTCTCAAACTGCTGAACCTTTCCAAATGCAATAGTGTGGGTGCTGCTGGCATGGTGGAGGTGGGTAAGCTGCTAGGACTTGAGGATCGTGTGCTGGATGGAACGGTGGTCACAGATGCTGGGCTGCAGCAATTAACGGGTCTGTCCTCTCTGAAAGTGCTAATCCTTTCCAAATGCGAGGGCCTGGCAAGTGCTGGCATGCTGGATGTCGGAAGGCTGATAGGCCTTAAGAAACTTGGGCTGGATGGAACGGCAGTCACAGATGATGGGCTGCAGCAACTGACCAGTCTTTCTTCTCTCAAACTGCTAAACCTGTCCGAATGCATGGGTGTGACAACTGCTGGCATGGTGGACGTAGGAAGGCTGACAGGGCTTAATGAGCTTTGGCTACACGAGACAGCAGTTACAGATGATGGGCTGCAGCAGTTTATGGGTCTCTCCTCTCTCAAGGAGCTAAGCACTTCCAACTGCAAGGGTGTGACGAGTGCTGGCATGGTGCATGTGGGGAGGCTGACAAGGCTGAAGAGGCTTGATCTGGATGACACGGCAGTCACGGATGATGGGCTGCTGCAGCTGACTGCCCTCACCAACCTGACATCACTCTACACACCAGAAGGGGTTCAGGTTTTTATCGGTGATGTTCGCGAACGGATAGGCAGGTAGGGTGGCAGGGAGTGACGATGGAAAGAGAGGTGAGGTGAGGACTGTGTCTTAGTGTTGTCTCGATAGGAAAACTAAGGATGGAAGGCATGCACGCGGATGAGTGCAGCAGAGAAGGTGGTTGTGCACGGCTCAACTTGCATGCTACAGTGAGTTGGAGAATGGTGGTGTGCAACTTGTGCGTTGCAGTTCGACAGAAGCAGTTACGTTGCTGTTTGGGCAAAAACCCACAATGTGCGTAAAAAGAAGGAATGTCTGCCTGGCATTTCGTATTTTGGAGGGGCAGCATCAAAAGAAGGGCGGACGGAGAAGGGGATGGGGGCGGAGGATGCGAGGCAGAGCAAGAGGGGAAGGGGAGGCGAGGTGGGGACAGCTGGGGACAAGGGTGAGTACGAGAGCAGCGAGGGAGGCGAGCATGGTGGGCGGCAGCAGTGGTGGCAGCAGGAGTGGCGACAGCAGTGGCAGGTGCAGTGGCAGCAATGGAGCAACATTGGCAGCAGCAGTGGCGGCAGCAGTGGCGGCAGCAGTGGCAGCATTAGTGGCAGCAGTGGTGGCAGCAGCAGTGGCTGCAACAGCAGTGACGACAGCAGTGGCAGCAGCAGCAGTGGTGGGCGAGGGTTGAGATCAGGGGTTGAGATCAGGGGTTGAGATCAGGGGTTGAGATCAGGGGTTGAGATCAGGGGTTGAGATCAATGTCTTGCATGGCTTCATGAGAGGAAGTGTATAAGAAATGCTTGGCTTTGGGTGCAGGAGGTGCAGTTATCTTCACGAAGGAGAGGGTATAGTGTGTATTATGGAGCTTGTAAGGCGTTTCTTCATCTGAGAACACCTTAGTAAGATCTGCATGATTGTTCTTCTTTGTTTGATACTGTTCTGAGACTACCATCAGGCAATTCTGAGATGGGGGATATAGGGCCCATACGAGGTGGGTCCTGGATGGCACGGTAGTCATGTAGTATCATGAGAACTGCGGTGCCTGCTGCTGCCACAATGATCAGTGCAATGAGTAGCCGTGCATGCAGATTGGTGGGTAGGGTGGCAGAGTGTGATGAGGTGAGAAAGGCAGATCGAGAGCTGAGACAAGTGTGGATTGAGTAGGATGTGTGTAAATAGGTGACTGGCGAGGCTTTGCCTGTGCACAGCTGAGGGTAGGCTCATGATTGTGTTGGGCTGAGAAAAACCCTTAAGATCTTTCAAGGCTAAGATCAGTGTTGAAGTAGAGATGTTGTAATTGCGGAAGCGTTAATAAGAATTACTTGAACCACCTTGTACTGGTGTGTGAGAACAAGATGAGTTAATTAATAGCAGGGAAATACAAGGCTTTTATATGATTACGAAGGAATATGAAAGGTTCTAATTTTAACTGTTTTGCTGTTGCGGTTTGATACAGTGCCGACTCGGGTAACTGCTCAGTAATGAGTCAGTTATGTGTCCTTGCTGTCGCACTATACCGTACTTTTCGTTAGGTCAAAGGTCAGCGACTTTTGACCTTCGCGTAACCTCCAGAGGTTACTTTTGTTGACTCGTGTGTTTCTTCGCTGTAGTCTGCTCCGTTTTGTGTCGATACTTCGATACTTCAGAAGCGTTTAAATTACTTGTTTCCAACACTCCCCTTCGCTTCTGGAGGATCGCTGCTGATGACGTGTCCTTGTCCAGTCAGCAGCATGCAGTACTCGAACTTCTGTTTTCCGAGTTTCTTGATCAAGTAATCAGCTGCCATCTCGGATGTGGGACAGTAGGATAGCTCGAGTCTTCCCTTCTCGATTTCGTCTTTTACAAAGAAGTACCGAAGGGCAATGTGCTTCGTTCGATTCGCGAACCCGTTTTTGTTCGCTATGCGAATGGCCGATTGGTTGTCGCAGAAGAGAGAGAAGCTGGGTAACTGGGCCAATTTTGCTTCCTCCAGTAATTCGCGAAGATATAGCCCTTCCTTGGTGGCTGAGCAGAGTGCGATATATTATGCTTCTGCTGAGGAGAGAGCAATTAGCTCTTGCTTGTTCGACTGCCATGAGATAGGCCCGATATGTTCGAGTCTGTAAACGTAGCCTGTTCGAGATCGTCTGTTGTCAGAGTCTCCAGCGTGGTCTGCGTCGACGTAACCGATTAGCTTAGGTATCGTAGTTCCGGTCTTGTGGTAGGTTAGTCCGATCGTCGGGGTGCTGACGAGGTAGTGAAGTGCTCGGTCGAGTTCGAGCATGTGCTCTGCTTCAGGCTCCTTGAGGCAGGTAGCGAGTTGGCTAGCTGAGTAGGATAGATCCGGTCGGCAGGTGACGGCTGCGAAGAGTAGGCAACCTAACTTCCGTTGGTAGTCGCGGATGCCGGCAGGTTTGAGTAGAGCGGAGGCTTTTCGATTTCCGTCGGTGTAGTGGTATGGCGTGGAGATGACGGTTGGAGTGAGTCCGAAATGTTTAGCGATAGTGTCCGTATACTTTTCAGCGTTGAGGTGGATTGCATTGTCGCCGTCTTGGATGTTCAGTCCTAGGTACTGTGTCACGGTAGTTGCGACGGTGAGAGTGAGATCCTGCTGCAGCTCCCCTTCAAACCATGTCGTTATGGCGTCAGTGGAGCCTATGTAGAGGAGGTCGTCGACGTAGACGATGAGTGGAATGTAGTCGGTACCCTTCGTCAGTCGATACATCCCTTGGTCATGCGGTAGTTGAAGGAATCCGATGCGGATTAGGCGGGCGTGAAGATGCTGCTGCCACAGTCTCGGGGCTTGCTTGATCCCGTACAGTGATTTCTCCAGCTGACAGACTTGGTTTGGGCCTGCGTTGGACCCGTGCGGGAGTTCGACGAAATTTTCAGCATC